GCCTGCATCTTGCATTGTGACTGTTCTAGTTAAAAGGAGCCTATTTTACTACAGTTATATGCGTCTGGTACATGCCACTCGATATACTGTTTTAGCTAAGAAGTCAAATTACACATAGAGATAGCACATAATTTACTTCACATCATCTCTCTGAGAGGTTCAAACATTGAAGTTACCATAGAAAATGTCTTTTGTTACCCTTGATACTCTCTGAAACCAAACTGCCCCTTGGGATATGGATTAAATTGTGGCTTGTTTGGAGCTTTATCCAGAGGGCAAGTGAACTAGAAAAGTTGGTTATTAGGCAGCAACAATTTTTTATTTAGTTTTGAAGCTTTTCAGACAGTTTCAATTGTCTACATTTTTTCTTTAGTTTTGTCTATGGCTAAGGTAAATCCCTTAATATGTAAACCCCGATGTAGGCTTTGTTTTCAAGAAAAATCGAGGAAACATCAATATTTCAGTTCTGTGTTATTACGAAATGCTTTATTAACAACTGGGAATAGGAATTTCCTCTTTTTTGGAAATCCTGAAAAAAATGTCTATAAGTTAAGGATTTCTTGTAGCCCACAATTAGAAAAGTAAATAGGTGGATTGCACATATGATGAAATTTAATTTAGTCATGATAAATCAACAGCAATTTGAAGAGGAGCAAGAAGAGGAATTAAGACTTTATCAGCCAGGGAGCCGAGAGACAGAAGCAGACAAAATAACTGACCTTAAATCATTGCATCGCAAACTACAAGACAACTTAATTTTGTTAGTAAGACGCCAAAAGGATTCAGTGACATGGGAGATGCCATTTGGTGAAGTGACAAACACCAATGACACTCTTCAACAGGTTTGTTGACATCTTCTCTTTTAACCTTCAACTCCCTTGATCTGGTTGTTGATTCTCCCCATTAGCAGCTACACATTTCCTCATAAATTAGTAAGGAAATTTAGTGCTAGATCAAGATGATAACTTCTACCTGATAAGTTTGAGGACTCTCATGACCATTTTGCTGGATAATGTATGAATATTAGAGGAAGAAGTTGCATCTTAATCACTTTTGGGAGTAAAGGGGTTTCAATTTAGTAAAACTGGAATTAACAACTCTAAAAGACAGTGGTTATCATGTTGTAATGGTCATGTGCACAGCCTTTTCCCTATGTTTTGAATGGCTGAACCACATTCATAGCAAAGTAAACTAAACATAGTCTACTTAATAAAAAAAGTTACAGGCACAGTGTAGTTGCTTTTATTGGGATGGTTTCATCTTGGGGTTCATCTGCAAACAAAGTATGTGTTGTCATCATTCACGACACAGGTGATGGCATTGTGGGCAATAGGGTTTTGTCCAACTCTTATAAATATTAACAATAACTGTAAATAAAATTGCATTTTTTACTTATTTCAGGTAGCATCAAAAAGTTTAAGTGACACTTGTGGCACTGATCTAAAAGTTCATTTTCTTAGCAATGCACCAACTGCTGTGATGAAAAAGTACAAAAATAAAAATGACAAGGTGAGGTCAATAATGTTCAAAAGATAACATTGTTAAAGCTGGAGGAGTGCCAGGCTGAAGACAAGGGTATGGTACCTTGTTGATTGAGGTTCACTTTAATGATGCTTTTGGGAATAGGGAGATGTTACGTCTTCAAAAGAATGAAATCAGCTCTTTTCCTCTTACTGAAACAAAATCAAAACTTACCTCAGACTTGACAGAGTTTTCTTTATCTCAGGCCCAAAACTTGTACTGAGATGCACTCAAAATCAAAACCTACCTCAGACTTGACAGAGTTTTCTTTACCTCAGACCCAAAAATATTACTGAGATGCACCCAAACACTTTTCAGAACTTGTTGTCTTAACTTGCCAAGTGTGTCTGTCCTCAAAATCTTCTTTTTGTTTCCCAGGTATTTTTCTACAAAGTGAACTATGTAACAGGTTGTGTCAGACTACATGAAGGATACTTTGATCACATCTGGGTGACAAGGAAGGAAATGAAAGACTTTGTTGATGCAGAATATTTCAAGACAATAAAACGGTTTATATTTTAAATGTTAGTGCAAAAACAAACCAAGGATTAGATTGATTGATGTCCCCTCATTTTCTTAATTATTACATGGTTATCTTTGAGTTGAAGACAAAGTAAAGTTTGCACTTGAGCCTATTGGTCCACACAGCCAGAGCTTATTCCAGTTTCCATGTTGCGTAAAGTGACCAGGAGTATTACTACTCCCCCCTGGATGGGACACTGGTCCATCGCAAGGTACCCTTCAAGCCTTTCATCAGGCTTCCCTGAAAATTCACCCATACCCATTTATACTCCTGGAGTATTATTACTTGATGGGACACTAGTCCATCGCAAGGTTACACTCCCAGCATTTCATCAGGCGTCCCTGAAAATTCACCCGTACCCATTTATACTCCTAGAGTATTATTACTGGATGGGACATTAGTCCATTGCAAGGGTACCTGCCCAGTATTTCATCAGGCTTCCTTGACAATTCACCAGTACCTGTCTACACTCCTGGGTGGAGACAAGCACTGTGAGAGTAAAGTATTTTTCTCAAGAACGTAACACAATGTCCCAGCCAGGTCTTGAACCCAGGCCTCTCAACCCAGAGTCCAGTGCACTGACCATTAGGAATAAGGGAAGATATCTTGCAGAGTAAATTTAACAGGTGATTTTTCAGGAGGTTTTGTAGTAATCAGCCTCTGTCCTTCAGTAAGTATCTAAAACTGAACTTGTAACCTCCCTTTGCCAATGGAAACTTCCTTGTAACTTAAAGATCAATGTGTGATAATCGGATTTGACTGGCTCGCAGTTAGATTCCACAAGTGAATGTATAACTTAACACCCTAACCAGCTTACTTACGATGGCCCCTTTCCACTCATAGAAACTATAATTGTTCTACCAACATGTCTGCATCAGGAGTGATTATCTTAAAAATAAAGGCAATGTTGACAAAATTGTAAAGAAAATGATTTATTTTATTACAAAGTCTTCAAAATGTTGCAGGAGGTTGTTTTATTCATGGCATGTTGTCTCATGCAGCAGTAGACCCAGTACTCCTCCTCTTTGTGCCGCAGCATATCTGAGGGACCGTTCTTGTTCAAATGCCTCTTCAAGTTTTAGCCACTGAAATGAAACAAATAATAGGTCAGATAAGAAGACTAAAGTTATTTCAATAATGTGAGAACTTACAGACGAGTTAAATTTCTTTCAGGTATGAAAAGTAGGAAAAGACAAACCTGCTGTATTCGTTGTAAATCAATCTCTGCTCTGCGTAACTTCTCCCAGCAATAATGTTTCATACATCTCCTCTTTGAAGCCCGACAGAAATCTCCTGTTTCTTCAAAGACATTAGTGACTAGAGGACAGCCACAAACATCAGTGGCAGAGATCTTAAAAAAAAAAAGTGGAATCTGTTGATAAAGATGTCATGGAGGTTGTTGCTCTAAATGAAAACCTGTTCTGAGAGTTTTGTCCAATTTTTCGCATTTATCCTCCATGAACCAAAAAGCTTGAAATAAAAACATTTGTAGGTCTCAAATATTCTTTAAGAAGTGAGCAGTTAGTTCACATACATATTGAGCAGGGCTTTTAAGATTTTTACAGAGTTATGATATGCAAACAAGTGAAAACTATTTAATACGTCTCAAAAGCATGATGATACCTTTGGTTCCTTTGTATGTTCAGGGCACAGAACTCGGAGTCTTTTGCAGTAAATCTTTTGCTGATGGTTGTAATAATCACAGAACAAGTTCCTGAAAAATTGAAGTGTAAAAATTTCAGTCCTAAGCAAAGGTTCAGAACAAGTAAAGTTAAAAAACAACACAACATCCATTATCTCTAAATGGTAAAAATCCTCCGAGAGCAGTTACAACAACCAAAACACATACCCCGCACTTTTGTAAATGGAACCAAATGTTGTTAAGCTTTCATTCTGTAAGAGAGCAGAAACCAAGTACCTTAAGTTATCAGTAATGTCATGTTATGGCCATTTACTCAATCATGTTGAACTCTCAAGTTCTAAACTGTTCACGAACATGAATAAAGAGGAAAAACTTTTAAGGAAAGTATGGTGCTGCATTGGTAGGAGGTATTACAAGAAACTTTGGTTTTATCAGATGAATTAGTAATGCAAATTGGCTACCACAAAGAGTTTCTCAAGCTAATGTTTTGAGTGTTAGTCCTTCATGAGAGTGAATAGCAAAGGGCTGATGATTGATTCAGTGGCCAATTTACATTATCCTTGTGGTTGATAAAACCAAATTATCTTGTTTAGAGGCATGATGCAGAGGGAAAGAAGACAGGGTGGGAGGGAAAGGTGCTTGTGGGCAAAGTAAAGTTATGGGTATTAATTATATTACAGTTGTAGAGCTGGGACTGAATGCAAAAGTCTGTATGAACCTTCATGTAACACTTCTCCATATGTCTGAGGGCAACTTTAGGAGCTAATGGTAGTCCACAGGTGATGCAGTGGACTTGAAGATCTGTTTCACCTTCTACTTCAGTGTCTTGTGCCTGACAAAGAACAGACCATGATAATTTACTAAAACATAATGTTGTACAAAGTAGTTTTTGGTAAGAACTACATATTTCGAGAATACTTTCAATTGTGTTTCATTATCTTGGTTTGTTTTAAGCTCTTTGAACATTAAACATTTACACTCTAACATCAGTACTCATATTCTCCATACTGTTCTCTATACATTTCCTTAAATACTGAAAAGGAGAGTTTGTTAACCAATAAAGAGCTTCTTGAATTGGTGATCATTTCCCTTATTCTTGATTGCCAGTCACTCTCAGAGGTTAAATGATTAAAAAGGATTTGAGATTTTGCCGACCATAGCTTGAAAATCTTCTCCATTCCCTATGTGTCTTGACAGATGAATCACAAATCGCACTCTTTCAAAATCACGAAACTCTATCACTCTCTAAGCCTGGAATACAAGATTGACAACATTTCAGGATTTTAGTGACTGGCATTGATCCATGCACTTAAAATATTTGTACCTCTGATTCTTCTATTGTAGCATGTTTTGTCTTCTCTATAAAAGCATCAAGTTCATTACTCAGTCTGTCAAGTTCCATCAACTTCTCCTGAGCTTCCTGAAAGGAACAGAATGCTTCTGTCAAAGCCAGGAAGGGTAGAAATTGGTAAAAACATCTCATTTTTTTTATGTAAACATACACTGTACCTCTTTCTTTTTTGCCAGTTTTTGCAGATATTCCTCAGCTTTGATATCAGCAACACTTGTAGTTTTTTGCCATTGAACCATTTTCTGAGGTAAAATCTCTTGAATACGTCTAAAGTGAGAAAAAATTTTAGAACTTTTGGAATATAGAATATTGATCTAATTTTTTCAATAGTTAAGACTACTCGATGTTTTGCTTTCATTTATAAT